GTACTTTCATGTTCTGCATGGTTTTCAATTTAAATATCTATTTTTCGTTATCTCATGGTTTTTATGTTTAGGTTTAGCCATCAAATTTCAGTATGATGAAAATCTCTCGGTGAGTAGTTTTACTTCAAATTCAATATCTCTCTTTTTTTGTTCGGTTAACTTTGTGATATTCTTTTGTTTTAGGATACAAAGAAGAAAGAATCCAAACAAAAAAAATAACAAATCATCGAAAGCCCAACAAAAAACAAGGATGGTGAATGCGAAATACATACGAGCCTCTCTTATAAACATCTCTTTTTCTACCACGAGGCCTCCCTCTCTAATAATACAATGTAGTAAAAACTGGAGTCGTCTATGTGTTGGCATATTCTTACAAATGCCACACTTTTTTTTGTGTGTTATATGATGTATGGAGAACTACGTTTATAGAGAAACTTCAAGTTTTGTGTTCTTCTGGGATTAGGGTTTGTTGATGTGCGATATGGTAATGACTTCTTCAACACGTAAACGAAGACTAAAGGATGATATTTAAGATCCCAATAGATGTATGTTTAATTTTTTGATATGTAAAAATGTTTGATTAACGTTTTATTTAGATGTGTAGATTTAAAAAAATTTATAGACGAAGAAGAAATATAAGAATAGAAATTGGAGAGGAAAAAAAACCAATGTTTCCTTGCTACTTGGAATATACGTAAACGTGATTGGAAGAAAATAATCGACGACAAAAAAAAAGTATTTTAATAGGGATTATCAAAGAGAACGATGATGATTTAGTGACTACATAGATTTAGTTTCATTTTTTAAAGAAAATGATGATGAATTAGTGATTAAATAAATTGCATATTTATTTTTTACTCTTACAATCCGAAGAAATCTCGATCAAATCAAAGTAATTCTTACATTTCTTTAGTTTTAAAATTTTCTTCTAAATGACTCTGATAAGTTTCATTTTTGTGTTACTTTTTTATGCACATTGGTTGTAGAATAGACTCGAATTGAACATATAAGCATCTTATTTCAAGTAAAATTCTACTATATCCAATAGTCCTTACACGCATAACCTTATGCACAAAAACACAATCTTGTATATGTCCATGATTGACATAACATCTTTAAATCTATTGCGAACTTATATTTCTCATAAATTCACCACTACATTTTATCGGTAAGAGACTAAGATAAGATATATTCATTGAAATTAATATATGCACATGAACTATAGTAAAAGATTATTGTTTCTTCTTAAGATCCAAATGGATGTATACATAAAACTTGATGATGGAGGAATATAAGATTCTTGATTTAAAGTTTTAAAGGTCGACCTGAGAAGAATGGACGACGTAGAAATAACAGAAATAAATGTAAAGTTTGGATAAAGTCATATGTCCTCAAATGCCAATCCAAATTTTCAAATTAACACACTAAGCTCCTAACGTCAGATAGTACATGTATAAACGTTAAATGAGATTGGTATGATTCGAGGAGGTTTCTCAGGTTTCTCGCCCTCTTTACTTTTCTTATTTTCAAAATTTTCTAGCTAGCATACTGTATATCCCTCTCTTTGCTAACCTTTTTGAATATTTATTATCTAAACCTTTTTCCTCCTAATTGGACAACCAATCAAAGAATCAGGGGTGGAGCTATGTGTAAGGTAGGGGGTAACATGACCCCGACTAATTTTGTTTTTTTGCTAATTTGTTTAGTGTTTGATTAAGTTATGTGATATTATTTGGTGTAAACCCAATGTTTGACCCCCTTAATTTATTTTATTTTATTGTTTGACCCCACTCATAAGAATTTAAAATTGTAAAATTGAACTATCACGTAAAAATATTATTTTTATTTGTTATCATTATTCTCTTATGTGTTGGTTTATAACCAGTTTTTTCTCATATTTTCAAGTTTTTTCAGCATTTTTGTGTAATTTTAAAATATTTTTAGTTAATTTTCATTAAAAACTATAGTAATATATTATATAATGACGCCGATCAAAAAAGTTTCTAGATCTGCCACTGCAAAGAATTGTCTTTAATTGAATGTGTGGTTAAAAAATGGTTAATTAGGTGAATATTATGTTTTGGACATGTAATTAGGTGATGGGTCTATGTAT